TTTTTTTATTGAATAGAATAATCATTATCCATGCAAACCATAAATAACATTGACAAGTAACTAAATATGATCATTTATAAACCTCCTTAAGAATAACTTTCATAAAATAAAATCCATATAATTATTTTATTTTATTTTAATTCTTATAACTCTAAATCATGAGAAAAAATGACAAAATGCATTTATAAATAATACACATACATTTATATTAGTTGGATACCCAAAGAAAAGCTTCCCACCACTTCTTATTCAATATTTTTCCTCATGAATTGCTTTGTAAGAACCGCACTATCTTCACCTCTATGTTTGTTAATTGACCATCGCCTTACCTTCTTTCCAATCTCACAAATTCTTATAAGTGGAGAAATTAATCATTGCTATGTATATACAACACTAATGCAAAATTTAAGTATTTTATGATAATATGATTAAATGTGTAGAAGTTTATGTAGCAATAAATGAAGGTAAGAAAAAAAATCACATCATATAAATATGATAATATGAAATATATTTACTAAATAATCACATTCCATGCAATGAAGTAGCAAGGAATACACCCTTAATAAGGAAGGATATATTTATCTCTTACTTAGAAAGAAGTCACCTACCAACAAAAATCACAAGCAACCAAGTACTTTAGTGGCTTAGCCGCGCTCTAAGGCAAAGTTCTCCGCAAATCTTATATACAAAAAAATCTACATAAATCACTCATTGAAGGCAATATACATCAAACCACTAGGTTCCGTTTGGGGCAGCTTATTTTGTGTGGTGCGTTTTGAAAACACGGCCAAACTCGTTTGGGTAAACTACATTTTGACAATTTTTCAAAAAAATGTGTTCTCAAACTGCTAAAATCAGTTTTTTCACACCATTTCTGGTTAGGTACGGTGCCAAATTAGTTTTTTGCAACTTATTAATAAGCTATAGCCGCCCCAAACAGCGTCATCAGAAATCAATTGAAAAAAATTTGGTCATCAATGATATCAATGATTTTCTATACTTTATGCATTAATAATTTATCTTAACACATCATCAATAACTCATTGCTTTCGGCTGGCTTAATGAAATCTTTATCATCCATCATAAGATTTATTTTTAATAAGATCTATTCATATATTAGTAAATAGTTTATTTATTTATATTTTAAAATTTTTTTTATCACAACAAATAAATCACTGAATTATATAATACTTCTTATAATTATTATCATTGATTATGTATTGATGAAATCTTGGATACCCACATTTAAGGCTCAATTATTGTAGCATCTTATCTTCTCTAAATTGCATAATATATATGCTGATTTACTTCAATTTATTATCATTATTATGAAGTGGGGAAGAAGAATATTTATTTTTTTAATTTTTTAATTAATTTATTAAATAGTGTTAAATAACAAAAAAAAAGTAAGCTGATTAAATTAATATTATCTATGAATTAATTAATTAATTAATTATTCACATTTTAATTTGATTTATGTGAATTCTTAATCAATGATTGATTATGATAATAAAACTATAATTAATGATTTATTCATTTTAAAAAAAGTAATTATAAATTAAATGATAAATATTAAAGTATGAATCGCTAATTAATTATCTGAGGATTTATTGTTTTGGTGAATAATGGACCAATTAACAAGCAATTGCTTATTAATTCATGATTAATAATGCTTAGTTAAAATATTATGTTGTACTAGTTATAAACAAAGTGAGCTAATCAATGAATAGTAAATTGGTGATTAAAGATAAATTATTTATATTAAATATATCAACAAACTAATTAACTAAATAAATTTTAATTAATGATTATTATTATTGAAAATGATAAAAACAAAATAAGTTGAAATATTATGTTTAAATAATTAAATACCAAATAGTCCCATATGATTTAGATGCATTTAAGATATATAATGCCAAAAAATTTCTAGAATTTAGCTAAGATAAGATTTAATAAATTTGAATATATAAAATTTACTAAATCTATTTGGGTTTCAAAAATTTAATTTTAAATTCGAGTTAACTTAAATTTAATTTTATTAAATACAGATAAATTTAAAAATGTATGAATTTATTAAATCATATTAATACAAAATCTTGCTTGCAGACAAAAAGCTTCTAAAATTAAAGTTAGAGGGAATTACACAGACCACCTGAAACTTGTTATTTACAAATCAACCATCTTCTTCATCCATTTTACAAATTTTCTCGAATATTAAAATTTATGATAAAACACAAACCCATGTTTTTCATTTTTATCAAATTCTCAATAAACACAAACCCGTGTTTTTCATTTTTATCAAATTCTCAATAATTTGATTATGACACGTGTAAATATATCGGTTGGACAGTTCAAATAAAAATCATCAAAATTAATTATTTATAAATATCAATATTTCAGATGATCTGTGTCAGTCTGCCATTGAACCAGATGGTTTCAGCTCTTTTCTCTTCTCTCTTCTCCCTTAAATTCTTACTTTCTTTCTTCTTCTCTCAACCAATCTAATCATTCATATGAATGAGAACTTTCCTCAAGAGAGAATGAAAAAAAAAAAAAAAAAAAAAAAAAAAAAAACAAGAACTGTGACTGTGACTCCGAGAATTTCAATCGGATTTCCTTGTTAGATCTGTGAAAGAGGTTAGGGTTTTCAGGGGTATACCCGAGAGAGAGAGAGAGAGAGGGAGGAACTAACGGTATATGTAGCCGCCGGCGTCAGATCTAGACGTAACTCCTTGTTTATGCTCGTCCCCATGTGTCTGGTTGGCAAGGTTTGCCCTTCCTCTCTTTAGAAAAATTTTCTCCTTTTAACTGCCGATTCATTGTTGTCTCTAGACATTGTTCCCGGTATAGGATTTTCCTGATGATGTATTTGCTGCCCCCGGTATCATTGAACGCAATTATTCTCTGGGAAGATTTCTCTGTCTTCTCCACCGTCACTTCCCATCTTCTGTAACCATCCTTCTATTACTATTGGTAGCCGGCTGCAAGGACGTGGGTTTTGAGACAGTATTTGAGGATGCTTGGGAGCTCTTTCATTCACGTTTTTTTTTTCCTCGGCTCACCTCTTAAAAAAAGCTTTAGATGGGAGGTAGAAAGTCGAAATCCTCACGCCATTCCAGTAATTCTGTTGATAATGTATCAAATGTGCATAGAAATGGTATAATCACCTTACGGATTGGGTATGAAGTTGTCAAAACTGAATTTTTTTCTTCAATTTAACCACTTCATTCATTTTTGTTGGTTGAACATATGAAAAAGACATAGATTCATACATTAGTTTTTTCTTTTTAATGCCAAATTGAACTTTATTCTTGGATATGAAAACACAAATATATAATAATTGGATAGCTATGAGTGGCTCACAAGGACTGGCAGACTCTATAGCACGAAAGAAAATCTGGACTGGTTTGGTCCAGATATAAAAATAGGAGTCGCTCTATCGCGGGGCTTCCCACATCACGTGACGGTTGCGAGAGCACGTTTTGTCCTGCATCATCTATATTTTTCAAGTTCTTGTCTTAATATTATTTTCACAGACTAACTTATTTGTCCGTATTTGTCCTTATTGTGGGAATCATTGCTTTTTTTAATATTATATTCTAGCGTTGCTAGTGTAGCGACCTGTGCAAACTTTTCAATATATTTATACCATACAACATGTAACTTCCAGTGGACGCCCTAGCATTGACACAATGATTTAAGGAATTTATTTCATAAATTAAAAAAAAAAATGTTGGCTATTGACTTCCTAATGCAACCCTTCACTCTCCACATATGGACTTGGAACCTGACAAAAATGATTGAATTGCTATAATTTTAAAATATCTTTAACGACTAAGTAGTTTTACTAACATAAGATTTGATGAATATTTTTAGGTAAGCCTTCATTAAGTTGAATGTATAATATTAGAGGTTTTGTTCATAGGTGTCATGGAGCCCCATAAGATATGTAATATAAATACATATTAAATTTCTTTTATATCAATTTGAAATTTGATGTATTTTAGTTTTAAAAATTTTTGATATAGTTCGTTCTTATATGTATTAGAAGAGTTTTATGTATTTTTAAAAAAATTGGAGAATGCTTACTTAAGTAAATTTTTTTGTCCGATTGTTATTTTTTTCCTTAATATTCTAAGTTTCTAAGCAAGGTCATGACATATTTGATTTAAGGGCCACACAAAACCCTTTTGAAGTATCCATATTTGATATTTATCATGTAACTTATTTTGTTAACATGACATCTGTTTTCATTTATCGATGTCCGATGATGGAGATAATTATTATTAAAAGATTCTTTGAAGTCTTTCTTGAAGTTAAAAGCTGATTGAAGTCCTAGTGAATCATAATCTTGCTTAATACGCGAGACAATACTCCCTAACACGTAAACACAAGCCCACATAAATACATAATCTTTGTAATCATTCATATTCCATTTGCACTGGGGTATTTGAGATACTAAAAGTTTTTCTTCTTGTTGCATTATATTTATCCTGTAGTTTTGGATTCTTGTCACTTTTTTCTTTATTATTATTATTATTATTATCATAATAATAATTATTATTTGATGGAGTGGTTTGAGTTTATATACTGAAATTGATGTTAGAGCAGTTTTTACTGATTTTTTTAGGTATTTCTCCAATTGGCGAGTTCTTTTTTCTTCCTGTTTCGTGTCCGTATCCATGTTTCATAGCACATAATCTTTGTAATCAGTCATATTCCATTTGCACTGGGGTATTTGAGACACTAAAAGTTTTTCTTCTTGTTGTGTTATATTTATCCTTTAGTTTTGGATTCTTGTCGCTCTTTTTGTTCTTTTATTATTATTATTATTTGATGGAGAGGGTTGTGTTTATATATTCAAATTGATGTTAGAGTAGTTTTTACTGATTTTTTTGGTATTTCTTCAACTGGTGAGTTTTTGTTTCTTTCTGTTTTTACTGTTTTTCTTTTCTTTCTAATTTGCATGAAATAATGTGGCAGAGCTGAATTAATTTTTTGATTGTACTCTCATTTATATATTTCAGTTTTAGATGTATATTAGCACATCGATTTAGTATTTTTGCGGAAGAGAAGTTTGTTCCAATTATATGGACAAAGAGAGAAATTATTGTGGTAAAAGATCCTTTTGTCAGGATGATGTAGAAAATGAGGGAGGCAAGAGGAGAAGGCTTGTTGGTCAAACTGTTGAACATACTGTGTACCGTTATTCATGGCCTAAAAGGGAAGCAGATGTCATTAACTTAGCCTTCTAAATTTAAGTAGTAAGGAAGTGCTGCCAACATAAATATGCAAACTCAATTGGCTTAGTCTTCTAATTTTAGGTAGCAAGGAAGTGCTGCACACATAAATGTACAAAGAATAAGCATGATGCATCAAGTCGGCACATATAAAAGGAGATTTTGATTTTACTAGCATATATTGATATGATATTACATTGGTTAGTTCTTGTATTAGATTATATGTACAATGATTATATGTACAATTAATAGTTAGTTGATAATGTTTAGTAATATTGACTTCTATTTCTCAATGTGCTCCAGATGGAGCTATTTATAGAAGTGCAATACTACTAAATATTTTTACCCACTTAATTAACTATACTTGTAATCTAATAGAAGAACTACACAATATAATATCACATCAAATATACTAAATGACTACAATACAAAATCGAAGAGACAAGTTCAATAAGTGCAATGGGTTGCTCCATAAGTATAATATATTAATACAACAACTACCTATAATAAAAAACATTACACTACCAATAAAAAAAGGTAATATATCACAAACTGAACAAATAAGCACAGCTCTCAATAAAAACACACAGAATTTCTAAATAAATCAAACATTCACATAATTATGGACTAAAAATATGCATATTTGACAGCTATTTCAATATATTGTCATTACCAGGATAATTCATGGGTAGTCATCACCACAATAAAAGGTTCTAACAAAATCAATAAAAGCAGCCAAAGGTGTTCCTTTGGAGTTAATTAAATCACAATTGCATAAAATAGAGCCGTTGGCCTTGAAAGCAGTTCATTTTTAAAAAAAAAGACCTAACGTATGAATCTATGGCTTTTCATACGTTGAACCTACAAAAATGTATAAAATGGCCAAATAGAAGCTAAAATTCAGTTTTAACAACTTCACAGCCATTTCGTAATGTGACTATACCATTTCTATGCACATTTGATACATTTAATAACAGAAGCTTTTGTGAAGAAAACTGAGGAAAAATAACGAGAATGAAAGTGCTCTCAAGCATCTTCAAATACTATCTCAAGACGCATGAACTCCCAGCCAGCTACCAATAGCTAAATTGAAGCTAAAATTTCAGTTATCATGTTTATATACTTAAATTTATGTCAGATTAGTTCTTACTGATTTTTTTTGTTATTTTTTCAAGGTTTTGTTTCTTCATATTTTTACTTTATTTTTTTCTTTCTATTTTGACATGAAAAAATGTGGCAGAGCTGAATTTATTTTTTTGTTGTACTCTCAGGTATTTATTTCAGTTCTGTATGTATATTAGCACATCAATGTAGTATTTTTGCGGAAGAGAAGCTTGTCACAATTGTATTATATGGATGAAGAGAGAAACTATTGTAGGAAAAGATACTTTTACGCAGATAACTCTGTGGAAGATGAGGGATGCAAGCGGAGAAGCCTTGTTGGTCAACGAGAGCTGCAAGATCTCACTGTTGATCATACTGTTTATCGTTATTTATGCCCTAAAAGAAAAGCGGGGCATGTCATTGGAAGAGGTGGTGAGATTATGAAATATATACGAGCAGATACTGGAGCGAGGGTACTAATTGAAGATGCCATGCAAGGTTGTGACGAACGTATTGTTACCATCTCTAGTTCAAGTAAAGAAACCAATCCCTTTAACTACAAAAAAGATTATGCCTGTCCAGCACAAGATGCCCTTTTTAGGGTGCATGAGAGGCTTGCAATACATGAAACAATGGTTTTTGACGAAGACGATGTCAGTGGTGTCATTCAAATTACTGTTCGCTTACTTGTACCATCAGATCAGGCACGTTGTATTATTGGGAGACATGGTCACACCATTAAGAATATGAGGAAGGATACTGGTGCTCGGATTTCTATTTGGAATGATAAGCGTATTCCAATTTGTGCTAATAGTAATGAAGAACTTCTTGAGGTATGGAATAAAAACATTCTCGATATCTTTTTGCAATATTGGCATTTACAATTTATCCTATTGAATAAATTTAAAATTATATTACTTTTTCTATAAATTTCATGTTCTATTTTTAGAATTTCATTTAAGCCCCTCAAGTTATTTTATTTTTATCCCTAGATATATATCATAACAACTCCATTTTTTTCAACCGTTAAATGTTATCATGTGACATTTTTTGTGTTGTTTTGATCATTATCTTGCAAGAGAATGATCAAAACACTTCACTTATTTCTTAAAGTTTCTATTTGCCCACATACAGGTATTTACCATATTGAAGCTGTTATGATACAGAACTTTGTTTAAATGGACAATAACATGAAGGATTTAAGTGAAGTGTTTATAAAAATGGGGACCAGCATACCACCTTGACATAAGTGTAATTTATTCTATCATCTATTTTATTTTTGGGTCTTTTATTCTTTTTCCGTCTTGATGATTGTGAGCTTCGAAAGAGTTGCTATGAAGATAAAATAGAATCTATCTCTTTGAGAGATGGAAACATATACTCCTGATGGGTTCAATGAAAGGCAATTAAATAACATATATATTTGTTTTTCAATAATCCATGTATAAGGGGCGTATCTTTTTGAAAAACAAAAAACAACCAATTATACAAATTCAAAAGAAATACATACACAATAATAAAATTGTTTCTCAAAGATTCTTGCAGTCTAACATATAAATGAAGCTTATATGTGGTTTATTTTATTATGGGGTCAAATTTCTTATCAGAGTAATTTTGTTTGGTTAATTTCATTATAGGGCAGTTCAACTGTAGAAACACTCTAGAATAAGCACATGTAATGTGAAAGCATCTTTATCCTAGTGTTATAGATCAGTTCATTACTGAAAGGACCATATGAGTTTAAAATGAAGGCCTTAAATGCTTTTTAGTGATGCTAGCAGTCCATGTGCGTTAAAATTAAAATCCTAGGTTTTTGAGATCCTTATAAACTCGCAAAATGATTTTAAGAGTCTTTGGAGATCTAGGATAAATAATTAAGCTAAGCCTTTGAAAATTTATTCTGGTTTATTAAAACTTCAAAAAAAATATATTTTTTTTTTCTGGATTCTAAATGATGTAAAAAATATGATAGATATTTTTTATGATTTGTATAAGGAATGTAAATGCTATGAGCAAATTCAGATCGCCTGGCCTTAAATCTATCTCAACCATTGCTTCTTGACCTAAGTGTTAGAATATCATCACCCACATCTGACTTTTAGGGTAAGTAGTGGGCATTATTAATGCTTTGAGAATTTGTTTCTCGCTTGCCTTTGGGCTAGATGGGTCGTTCTTAGGCCTTAAAGAAATATCCTGAGGCTTTTTTACATGATGAAAGTAAGAATAAAGATTGTGACAATTCGTGCAAGCTAAACAACCAAGCAAACAGTAAGGACTTACTTATGATAGGGCTATCACTAACCTTCTAGGAGCTTTATATAGCTTTCTTTGTATATAAAAGAAACCAAGTCGACTACAATTTTTGTTAGCTTTCGTTCAATTATTTCCTTATTTCCTTATTGAGTTGAGTCCAGTTTGAACATGACCTGAATTCTAAAATATTGATCATGCTTTTTAATATTGTTTGAAAAGGTGTTTGAGGCTTACTTCTCGAGATGCGCCTGATCTAGGGTTTATAAAAAAAGCGTCGAGGCTTAAGCCTCCATGTCACCATTGAGGGTCACGCCTTTTTCATCTGAGGCATACACCTTAAGGCTTTACGCTTGAAGATGTTTGCAGCAACTCAATCAAAATATGGAAAAAAGTGTATTATATTATATTATATTATATATATTTGATAAAAATATCAAAAGATAATCTAAGTACGAATACTTATGTTATTAATTTATTCTTTAATTTTAAATTATATTAAATTTCAGATTAGTTGATAATTAAAAAAATTATAGTGAATGAAGAATAATTTATCATTATGGATTTTGAATCTCATGGAATATTTAAATTTTAATTTATTACTTAAAATCATATTTCAAACTTCTACTTTATATCAATATTTAAGACCAGATTTGCGATTTATATTTTTATCATAATAATTACATCACTATATCAAGCGCTTATGTCATATTTATGAATTATTTTTAATTTTATAAGGTTTTTATTTTCTTTTCTGAACTTACTCTTTGATCCGCCTCAAGGCCTTCACCGCCTTCGTTCCTGATTTCACTTTTTAATTAATTTTTTTATCAAAATTGAGCCATAATTAAGGTTTAATCTAGTCCAACTAATTTATGTTTGATGTTAATTATTTAAACGTATAGTCTTATTATTAGACATATTCAGATTTACGGATTTTAATCAAAATTAACTTAAGTCATTAGGTATTATTTTAGTTGTTATATGAACTTTAAATATTGACAAGAAAAAATTTTCATCCATATGTCTAGATATTGATATTTTTTGTCATAGTTATTTCTCTACAAGTATAAATAATTTTATAGTGCTTGAGATGGAAAAAAAAATAGGACAAAGAATAAGTCATTAAACAAATAATTAAGTCATCACTAAATGAGCATTTTATCAAGTTTTTTAGGAACTATTTGTTAAACAACAAACAAACATATTCATGAATTTAAATGAACAAGTATCATTTTTCAAGCTTATTTATTTGTATGCCATGCTCTTTTAATTTGGTTTAGAGTTGTTTAATTATGTAACTAAACGACAAGTTGTTCATTATTGCTATTCTTGGGATGGAGATGAAGCTACCACAAGCAAAAATATCCCCTTGGCTCCTTCTTGAACTCCTTGTCAATCAAAGTGTTGCCGTAACTTCAATAAGGGTTTTTAGGAATGGCCCTCAAGGACATGAGCTAGGCTCAAAACTTCCAGATCAGCACCCTTTGACTTGTGAGGTAGCTAATGGAATAGAAATGGGAGTCTTGGATGTAGTGGGGAGGTGGCTTTCAAGCGGGGCTCTTCTCTTCTTTGGTTCTTATAGCTCTTAAAAAGGGTCAATAGAGCTTGAGAACACTTAGTGACGTTTCTCTCAAGCTAAGGAACTCTCAAGGGTAGAGAGAGCTTTGGTTGGGAGTGGTTGTTGGTGTTTATGGAGCTTCTTCCTTCAAAATGAGCATACTTGGGTTTACAAACATTGCAATCATTAAGTTGTAAAGTTGTTGAGATTAGCTTGGGGCCCAAGGGGCATTGCATTCCCTTTGGATTCACAAGCAATTCAAACTAGACCACTTTGGGTGAAATGGCCAAGATTGGTCCAATCTTGGCTTGGCTGGCTCTAAGACACCAAGGGGAACGCCTTGTTCACTCAATTTGGCTTGAACATTTTAGCTACATTAGCCAATTGTGTCTATTTGGTTTTGATTTGGGTTACCCATTTGTCATAACCCAAGAGGTCCTCTATCCTCCTATTGTTGTCCGAGGTCAATTATACTTAGCGGGTAATTGGTCCAAGGGTTTTAGCAGCTTGGGTCAAGCCAAATAGAACAATGGGTTCACCTTGGATTCAATTGGGTTGACTTGGGTTCAACGTTCAAGTTAGGATTAGGCATCTTGGGATAGGCTCACTAAGTTATACCATCTCTATTGAGTTCCTAAGCTCAATTGAGGATGAATCTAAGGCCTAATTTGGTTAGGTTTGGTTTAATCTTGACTTAGGCTCGGATTTGTCTAGTTCAAGCCAAATTCATAAGATCTCTAGGCCCTCTAATACACCATGTGCCAATCATGGTGTGCTTCGGTCAACATAAGGTTAATTGGGTCAAGCTAGCTTCAATGACCGACATTAGGTCATGTTGGGTTGAGCTTGGTGATGAATTTCTACTCCAATGATACAAAAAATTGAAGACATAAAGATTGAGGCTCTATACGTTATATTTGTCTCTCCATGACCCATAGATTGTAATTTGTGTACTTTCATATAGAATCACTGACCCTTAATTGTTTTTCTATCTTTTTTATTTTATTCTATTTTATAATGCCTCTGGAAGTTGTATGTATACCTTTTCTCTTATACAAAGAAGAAACATAAAATTTTTGAAGAGTTTTTCTCATGACTTATTTTCTTCATGGTATCAGAAATTGGTTAGCGTGCTCCATTCGACCTTTATTTTTATTCTCTAAGTTTAAAGCTTTCACTTTTAACATTTACTGTTATTCTCTACAGTAAGGGTTTTCAATTCTAACGTAATCCCTCTTGTCGAGTTTTGCTTCTTTTCATGATATTGGGTCCTTTTGACGTCCGTTAAAAAGAATCAATGGTGATTAATTATGAAACTTAGACCAAAGGAGAACTTCAGGTATTTCAAGCATCTTATTGCTTGAACAAGAGCAAATAACTTAAATGGTCTCAAATTGTGAAGACCTTTCTAAAGGGAAAGGAAAAGATCTAACACCTTGAAGATTTACCTCTGAAGTTCAAAGACCCAAAGTTTTTACTTAAGAAGAAGCTGATTTCATCATCATGACATGGTTGTGGAACATCTTGCTACCGAAGATTAGTGGACATTTTATGTTTCTCTACAGCTCAAAATAGTTTTGGAATACAATTAAACAAGCTTGCTCGAAGGTGAAAGATGCTACAATTTTCTATGAAATCAAGATGAAACTTGCCATTACCAAAAAAGTTTAACATTTCTGTCATTGAATACTTTAAGGTGTACTAGTTAGAGTTGGACCACTATCAAGATCTCAAGATGTCCTGTTGTGAGAATGCGACGATGTTTTCAAAATTCATCGAGTAAGAGAGAATCTTTGAGTTTTTGGCATGACTCAACAATGAGTTTGATCAAATTTGAATTCAAGTCTCAAGCAATGAAATCTCCCTTCTTTGAATGAAGTATTCTCTCGTGTTTGAGCAGAAGAAGGAAGGATGATGGTGGTAAGTATTCCAGCGCTTGAGATATCTGTCATGACAACTTTTGAATCCCAAAGTAACGGACTTTTAACTTAAAATTTTATCCAAAAGGACAATATCCCCTTTTCATAGGAAATCTCTGATGCAAAAGAACGTGCCAAGGACAAATGTCAAAAATTTCACAGAAAACCTTAAGACCATGTAGCAAGTAAATGTAGAAATAAAAAAGGATAGTCCTACCTAATGAAGTAGGAAGTATTCAATTTAGAAGAAATCAACAAATTAATGAATTTTCTCAATTCCTTAGAAAAACCAACAAAATCTTATTCTCTTGCTCATAATAGTATGATTTCTAATTTTTATGATATTAGTATCTCTAATAGTTCTTCCTCTTCATGGATTCTAGATTCAGGGGCCACCGTCCACATTATAAACCTAACTGATATATTTTAAACTTACAAACACTGTACGAGCAATAGAAAGATAAAAATTGTAAATGGATGTTTAAAAATTGTTACAGGACAAAGACATCTTAATTTCTCCCAATATAATCCTAACTAACTTATCACATATCCCAAATCTTGCAGTTAAATTTTTATCATCTCTCAAATTAACTAAATACCACAACAGTAAAATCATATTTTTTACTGATTATTGTGTTTTCTAGGATCTTACTATGAAGAGGGTGATTGGGTGAGATAGAAAAATGATGGATTATACTTTCTTGAAGATTAGGGTTAACCATCACACTCCTTCACCTCTCATACTACCGATAACATCTAGACCCATCATTATAGATTATGACATCCTTATTTTAAAAATCTTCAGTGTATGTTTTCTTCACTTTTTATAAATATAAATATTAAAATATTTCATTATGAAACCTGCAAAACATTATAAACTCGACCAATATATTTCAAACTTATAAACCTTGTCCTTGCAATACGAAAGTAAAAGTTGCAAATGGATTTTTTTAAATTATTGCAGGACATAGAGTCATCTTAATTTCTCTCTTCTCAACATAATCTTCAGTAACGTATTACATGTCCCAAATCTTGTTGTCAACCTTTTATCTATTCACAAGTTTACTAAAGACCACAATAGCAAAATCATAATTTTGACCATTTTTTGTGTTTTTCAGGATCTCACTACAAGTCGATGATTGGGCAAGCTAAAAAAATGATGGATTATATTTTCTTGAAGATCGAGATGTCAACTATCACACTCTTCACTTATCATACTACCCATAATATATGGACCCATCATTATAAATTATGACATCCTTATTTTAAAAATGTTCAGCGTATATTTTGTTCACTTTTCATAAATATAAATATTAACACTTTCATTCTCAAATCAACAAAATTATTAAATATCACTGTGTTTCCTTTCTTGAATGTAACTCTAAAATCCCCAATATCTTTGGAGTCATTTGTTTTGTTATGTTTATTGATGATTGCACTCGAATGACACGAGTATATTTAATTAAACAAAAATCTGATGTTAGTTCTATACTTCTTATATGCTCATGGTTATTTTAATCACATATTAACATCATTCTTCCAAATAAAAGTTTTATCCTCTAATTTTCTTGCCCTCATAATCTCCAATAAAATGTATGAAAAAAAATAAAAACCATCATCTTTTGGAGGTAATTAGGATACTTCTGCTGCACAATCAAATATCAAAATAATTTTGAGGTAAAGCGGTTCTACAACTACTTATTTAATCAATAAAATACCTTCAAGAGTAATTGATTTTAAAAGTCATTAAATTATTTGATAAAATTCTTTAGTATGGACAACTTCTCAATAATCCCTCTAAAAATTTGGATGCATTGCTATGTTCATATTCATAAAAAAAACATAGAGGAAAATTTGACTTATGAGCTGTCAAATACGTATTCATAAAATATTTTGTCACACAAAAGTGTACAAAGATTTTCATTCACACACAAAAGGTTCTTTACTTCAATGAATGTCATATTTGAATGTCTCAAATTACACCCATAGTTTTTTCACTCAACTCATATTCAGGACGAGAATTCTTATCTTGATAAATGTGATGATATCTTTCATTGTGGCATTTCTGTACTAAAAATCCTTCAAATTGAATTCTTATACCAACTATTCCCTAATAAGTCGATACAAAAAGGAACAAACTCAACCAAGATCTCTAGCAAGGCGAAGATTCAAAATTATCACCAGGTAACACTTCTTAGGAATACTAGTGGCTCAATCTAAATAAGGGAAATTTCTCTCCCAACAAATATCTGTTATGGATTTGCTGAAAGAAAACCAAGATGATAAAGTACAAGTCATATGAAACTTTAACTGAATCAGGACAAAAAATGGACCTTGATTAAGGAGCTGATGTAGATACGGGACAATATCAATGGTTTGTGAAAAAATTAATCTACTTGTCTCGCACTCATTCTGACATCACATTTGCAGTAAGTCTAATTAGTCAATTCATGTACAAACCTAAGAGCACACCTTCAAGTCACTTATAAAATCTTCATATATCTCAAATCATGCTTCGAAAAAAGAATTTCATACAAAAGACATGATATCCTACATGTTGAAGGATACATAGATGCAAACTATGCGGGATCATCGGTTGGTAGAAGATCTACTTCAGGGTTTGTACATTATTAATTAAAAACATCATACTTGGAGAAGTAACAAACAACCCGTGATTTCAAGATCAACTTTTGAAGCCGAGTTTAGAGCCATTTATGCAAGCAATTTTTGAGCTTATATGTGTTAAATTTATATTAGAGGATTTAAAAATCAAGTGAAAATTTTTTAAATTATATTGTGATAACAAATCAACCAGCATTACTGTACACAATCCCGCACAACATGATCGTAACAAGCATGTTGAGGTTGATAGACATTTTATGAAAGAGAAATTGAAAAGTGGCACGATTTGTACTTCATATGTGTCCACAAGTAATCAAATGACTGACATATTCACCAAAGGATTGCAATCCAATATTTAAAAATATCATAAGCAAACTTGGAATGGTACATCTCTACCATTCAGTTTGAGGGTGGGTGTTGAATTTATTTTCTAATGATAACAGAGAATTTAAGCACACGGATCGGGACTCTACGCCATTAAATCAAAACACACATATCGAGGCTCTACAACGTTAAATCAAGACACGTGAATCGAGATTCTGTATTGTTAGATCTGTCTCTTTACCACCCTCAGATTGTAATTCATGCGCTTTTCTATAGGATCACTACCCTCTAATTATTTTTCCCTCCTTTTTTGATTTATACCTATTTTGTAATTTTCCTAGGAGTTGTTATATACTTTACCCCTTGTACAAAGAAGAAAAATAAAAATTCTTGAGAGTTGTTCTCATTACTTCTTTTCTACACTTCGATCAAGTTTAGTCTGCCTAGGGCTAGTTTAGCCTAAAATGAGTCTAGTAAAGGTCATGGGCTAACCATGAGTTTGGGAATTGATGCTTATTCCAATTGGGTCCATCTATGATCTGTCTAAGCTTATTGGGCTAAATGGGTCAAGCCACCTCTTGGATGGGTGAAGCCTAATACAACTTGGGCAAGTAAGCAATCAAATCCAAGGCCTCAATATGGCCACCTAGAGTCTACCAGGTGATGAATAAGCCATGCGTAATGGTAGGTTAAATTACAACGTCAAATGAGTTTGGGCATTGGTCAAGCTAGTTTGGCCTAATACAACTTGGGCAAGTAAGCAATCAAATCCAAGGCCTCAATATGGCCACTTAGAGTCTACCAGGTGATGAATAAGCCATGCGTAATAGTAGGTTAAATTACAACGTCAAATGAGTTTGGGCATTGGTCAAGCTAGGTTGGCCTAGTCACTAGCTTGGGCCTTGTTCAAGCTAGTTTGGCCTAGTCACTTTTAGTTGTTAGGAGTTCAGTTGGACTCGTCAAATTCCAATGGCAGGGGCCCAACGTTAACAAGCTTAACTAAACTTACTTGACCTACTCTGGGTCAATTTTGGTATTGTTCTAAATGAGTTTGGGCATCTAAGGCTTGGGTTAGATCTAAAGGTGGTCACCAAGATCATGGTCAATCCAATACTGCCGTTATAAGTCAAGCAATGGCTCAAGATGACATAACATTTCTTGAAATCATTATGCTAGCACCCAGTAGGGTTGGTGGCCAAAAAATGATAGGGATGTAGATGTTGAGCTCATTAGGGGGAGGTCATTAAGGGAAGTTCACCTAAAAGTTTACAACCACGAGCGCTAGAAGTCTCAGACACTTTAAAGGTTACTTAAAGTCGGCTTAGAGTTCCTCTAGGTTTCTTATAGGGTCATTAGGCTCTACATAGGAAAACATTGGGTGGGTTTGCTTGTCCTAGTGTAATCAGAAAGTTTAAGTTTGACTAAGTCCCAAGATAACTTCTAAGTCATTCTAGTGTTGATTTTGGGTCATTCGAGTCCAAAGCTCAAATAATTGAATTAGCAATGGTATTAAAGCCACTAAGGTTCATACGGTGCTAGAAAAGAGTCTAAGTGTCTCTATCATTGGGTGCTAGGCAATGGTCTCCTAGCCTGGTATCAGGCCTAAAAGGTTCAATGGTAGGCCTAAAGCTAATCCGCTCTAAAAAAATGGCCAACAATAATCTTTAATGCCCCTTAATTTTTTCCCAGTGTTCTTTCATTATAATCTAATTTTGGAGAATGTAGAGAATAACATAAGCTTTTAAACTCCTACTTGTACCATTGTTATGTTGTATTATTCCTTGCTTTGGTAACCCTTTAACTTATCCTGGGCTCGATGATTTGCTTGGTCTCTTCATATATGACTTGTTTGGTATCAGATTAGAGGAGATGCTTTGGTGGCGAAGGAGGCTTTGTTTCAAATCTCATGTCTCCTTCATGAGTTTCCTTCACGGTCCCATAATTATATGTCTTCCAAAGTATCCTACAATACATTTGGTTGCAATTTGGTTCGGGATCCAGGATCTCCAGTGGAGGATGAGTTCATCTTGCGCTTGGTGTGCCCTTCTGTTAATATCAGAGATGTGATTGGCAAGGGTGGCGCTAATATCAATCAGATCAGACAGGAATCCGGAGCAACAATAAATCTGGATTGCTTTTTTGATGAAGAAGACTGCATGATATTAATTTCGGCTAAAGAGGCATGTATTAGCTGTTCAGCTTCTTTGGTGTCTTTGTATTTTCTGCTGTTTTATTTGCACCGAATATTTTATTCATCCTTGATTCACTTAATATACAGTTTATGGGGATCTCTAACTCGCCAACCATCAATGCTGCAACACAGTTACAACTCAGTTGCAGTAGTAAGGTGGATGGTGAATATGACGGACCTTCGTATGTAACACGTCTTTTGGTACTGAGGTCACAGCTTGGCGGTTTGATTGGGAAGGGGGGTTTGTTCATCAAGGAGATGAGGAGAACCACAAAAACAAGCATCTCCATAGTTGAAGACTCCCTTCCAAGTGTTGCAGCTGTGGATGACGCAATGGTAGAGGTAAATATGCTTGCATTTATTGTTCTTGTCCTTGTCCTTGAAATAGTGTGTACTTAACAAGGCACACAAACAGTTCATTCCGTTGAACTAAGTAACATGAGATATGTGATTATTTGAATTTCCAGATTTGTGGAGATCTTCCAAATGTCAGAGATGCCCTTATACAAGTGATAAACCGGTTGAAAATTAGTCATTTTGCAAGGAAGGGCTTAGTTTCTGCATCCCCTTCGGCTTCCTCACATCATATGTTAAGAAATTCTACTCATGGATCGTTATGTAGCGGCCGAAGCTTTGAACTTCATAGTCATGGACATTCCCATTCTAGTGAGTACAAAGCTTCTGTTGGTAGGGTGTCATTAGAAATCCATGCCGGCTCTGATGGTCCACAGGTACATTATTAGCTTATACAAATATACATTAGTTGGGGAATTAGATGGGCACGTCCATGCACTTTTTACATTTTAACCTATATTTCAGTTTTTTAGTTCTAAATCTTCTTCCTTCAATTTTTTTTTTTCCGCAGTTTGATTCCTTATGTTTATACTTCCTGCAGGTTGATTCTGATAATTAGATATGCTGAAGAAGTTAATACATTTGGCATCATCTTGTAGGAGTTTTAAGTTGTTTTAGTTTCTTGATGAATAGTTTATAGGCTTGTGTTTGTGCGGTTTAAAGTCGTGCACCGTGGAATTCGCCTATTGAGCTTATATATGCAGATAGCAATATCAATCAGGGAGCCTTTGTACTGTCGTGCCAGTTAAAAAGAAGAACATTGAAGCACACATAATGACACGCAACATGACAACATGAGCATGTATATGGTGACAGGACAGACGTGGAAAGTTTTGTACACAACATAACTATGTCATATTCCTTACTGAATAATACAGACAGTTAGATGCTGAGAAACACACGCATATGTATATGTGTCTGTTTGTGTGTTTGTATTTATGCGAGTTTAACTGTGTGGCTGCGGCACGGACTTTATCTTTTTATGTGAAGAATCGACATTCTCCACCCTATAAAAATTTGATGTTATGACCTTGAAATGCAAGATTAAAATATCCTTTTTTTTGTTCAATATCATTAAGATTGATGCAGGATGAATGGTTGGTTTGAGTTTTAGAATTTGATTGCGTTTTATTCCGAACATAGTTTGATTTGAACCCAAATTGAAAACTATACATTTCTACATATGATGATGGCACAAGACAAGGCTTATACTGAATTTCATGCATGTGTAAGGGAATACTCGGGTTAGTTTCTGGTGCATTTAGTTTCTGTTCCTTCTGGAAGGGGTTTGTTCTTACGGACCACCAATTTTATGCGAATTAAAAGAGTTTAGAAGATCAAATTTTAGTTACATGGATTTGATCTTTCCAGAGAATTGATAAACTAGATTCCTCTATTGATTTGATTTTAGTATTACTTTTGATTAGAGACGGTAGAGTTATGCCAATGGAAGGAAGTATGTTTTATTCTATGAAATCATAATTAGTAGCTCTATTGATGCTAAGTCTTTCTCCCAAGCTGTGCCTTTTTTTCTCTCCATTTTATGTTTGTTTCTGTTATCATAGCAAATATGTGGTGCAACTGCATTTGTCTCTTGGTTTAGCAAGGCATGTTAGGAAACATTAGGAATGAAATTATAGTTATATAATCACCTTGTAAACACGGACATCGATATGCTGTACTCTTACACTGTACAACTAGATATTCATTATGAATTTCAAAACGCAACTATGTACATACCTCCATATGTAGACAACATTTTGAAAACTTATTTGCTAATTTGTTAACAAATGTCAAGCCTCTTAGAATAGAGAGGAAAAGAGAAAAATAGGAGAATATAAAGAGATAATGGAGAGAATTTATAGATGTTTTGTTCTTCTTTTTTTTCGCTTGTATGCTACTCGACATGTGCAATGACCATAGAACATTTATTTGAGGGATTTGCATGCATATCACTCTAAATTTTTTATATTTGTTTACATTTATTGTCCTCCATTAATGGAGTTATCTGAATCTCATCAATTTGGCGACTGCCGGATCTCGCTGCTCCGGCGATCATTGTGAAGGCCTCCTGCATCATCCACCTCCTCATCCTTCTTCTTCTTCAGTGTGTCAAATATGTTGCTTTGGAGATCACATGGAACCACTAGCATTGTGTCTCATCCTCCTCCACTGTACTGAATCCATCACCCAATTATAGCTAGTTGTGGGGTCTAAGGCAACATTCCAGGTGGCAGCGCATCACTGGTGGCGACGATTTTGGGTTAAGTTTGATATAGAAGTTTTTTACAAACATCTGTTTATGGCTCTCCTCTTCAATTTTGTCAGCATCTTCGAGATGCTCCAGGTGGCAGCGCTTCACTGGTGGCGACGATTTTGGGTTAAGTTTGATGTAGAAGTTTTTTACAAACATCTGTTTATCGCTCTCCTCTTCAATTTTGTCAGCATCTTCGAGATGGCTACCTTTAGGGGTGTAAACACGAGCGAGCCTAGGCTCAGCTCGTGTTCAACTCGTTAAAAAAATATCATTATTTGTATTCGGCTCGTTTATATTTCGAACATAAAAAGTGTGTTCATGTTTGACTCGTTTGCTTAGCGAGCCGAACATGAGTTGTTCGCTAACAAATAGTCGTTTTGAAAATCTTAAATCACGCAACCGTAGGATGTTAATGGTTGGGGCAAGATGTTAACCCAAAATGAGCCGAACATAAACAAATAAATCTTTGTACGTGTTCGGTTTGTTTATATATCGAGCACAAAAAAAGTGTTCGTATTTGATTTGTTAACTTGGCGAACGAATCAAATACGAGCTTCTTAACGTGTCAAACATGAGCTGTTCGCGAGAGCCATTTTGACAGCCCTAGCTACCTTGTAGCAATCAAGCAAGGTGTTGGCATAGGTGGCCGAGTAGCACAGGTTTGACGGAGCTAGCGATGGAATGTCAAATTGATAATTGGATACTAAGGGCCCGTTTGGGGCAGCTTAAAACTACGGTGGCGTTTTTGAAAACGCCGCTGTAGTGTTTGTTTCGCACGTTCAGCCAGCTTTTTAAAAAACGTGATTTCGAATTTGGCATAATCTGGCCCGCGGCATTACCCCTGCGGTTAGCGTTTCCTTCGCTGCGTTTACCCTTGAATTACTTCCGCTGCCCTTCACATAAACTGTCGCAAATTACCTCGCTCTTTGCCTACCTCGCGATCCCTAGCCGCTAGCTGCTTCCTTCCGCTCTCTCGCCGCTTCTTCCATCAGCAATAAGCTCAGCTCTCTCGCTGCTTCTTCCGCCCGCAATAAGCTCCTCTCTCAGCTCTCTCGCTGCTTCTTCCATCTCTCTCGCTGCTTCTTCCGTCCACAATAAGCTCCTCTCCCTGCTTCTTCGGCGTTAATCCTAGGAGGCCAGCAGCTCCTCTCTTCGGCATTTATCCCCTTCCAGGTAAATCCCTTCTCTCCTCTCATCAACCTTGTGTATCACATCCTGGTGCAAATCTTCTCTGCATGTGGAGTTCAATACCTTAAAGTTTTGCTGATAATCTCTCCTACTTTGAAGAAAATTATAAAAAGGGACGTTTACATACGTACCACACAAATCTGATGTAAATTTCAGGTTATATACATTTAGATTTTGGAAAAATGGATGAACGGGCATGCTGCATATCCCATGCCGTCCCTTCTCTCCATTGCTTGGCCACTTTTGCGTGTGATTGTGGGTGCAGAATGACATCCATTTCTTGGCCACTTTCGTGTGAAAGGGAGGAGTGTTGCTTGTGTTTATTAGCAATTTGCTAAAAACAAATTTTGTATTGTAATTTGCTCAAATTTCAATTAGTTGATTCTTCTCTCTAGCATAATTAGTTTTAGAGATGTTCTTTGTTCTCATTTGTTTTAATGTGCAAGTGAATGGTTGTGGGTGTGATGGTGGTGATAAATGGGTTGTTTGATTTTTATGATTTCATTATTTAACATTATACTATTTGGCAAGAACTAGAAATCAAGAGAATCATTGGTGAAAGGTGATTATAGTTTGTTGATTACACCCAAGTTTTGTTGGGTAAAGAAAAGTTACAATTTACTTGTGAAAATTTTGCATGCATACCACAACATTCGTTCCTTAATACCTAATTGTTATATAAATCATCTAAATTTATTAGTTTACATTGTTGGGTTAAGGTTTCATCATTTAAGTTTTTTTTTTGGCGGAATATAAAGATATTAGTTCAACACATGTGATTTGGACAATTTTAGTGAGAATCTTAAAAGAAAATGAGTGCCTTCATCATTGCTATCTATCTTGGATCAAACTCATGAGCTCTACAAAATCGTTCACAAACTTTACACGAGAATCTATTTTCATCCATTTTCATAATTACATAATGATTAATCAAGCTGATTAAAAAATTGAAGGGAAAAGATAAATGGTCATTTATCCAGAAATAACAGCAAATCAACTGTTTTCCAAGCGCAGATACCAAACAGCTACACAACTTATCCAAATCAGAGGCAGAATGGTCATTTATCCAGAAACAACTGCAAATTTTCTTCCAAACATATAAATCAAACAGCTGAATCCAGATCAGCTGCTGATCAACAGCTTATCTGGATCAGCAGCTTATCAGCATAAGCTGCGGTTTCAGAAAGCTCCCTCTGTCATTTGGAAATTATGGCGTGGCTACTTAATACATCTAATAAGTTGTTATTTTTGTAGTATGTTTTAATGTTTTGGGTGCTATAAATGGAAATATGATGGTTTATGTGTGAAATGTGTAATATAAAGTTGTTTGGATTTCTTGTCTTTAGATATCACAAGTAGAATCAACACCAACGATGTTTATAGGAGCATATATCCACAATGTCCTAATTATATATTTTATTGGTTCAAACTCCTGAAAAACAATTCAACAACTCATAGATTTAACATCATAATTTGCTACAATTTCTGTATTGGTTGTTGGCAGCAATTCTCAAGCCCTTATCATGTGTCAAGGTTCAGGTCACCTCTAGGGAAAAAAATTGCGTAAGACGTACGCAGCGCTGTGTACGTCCTCCAATGGCAGCTCGACACATCAGCTGAGTTGGTCCCACCGCCTATATTTGAAAATTTACCCTCGCGCGACCCGTCGACCCGACCCACTCGGTTATAAATGAGCTATAACTGATCTGTAACTGCCTCGTAACCGCTTCGTTTGATCCCGCAGTACAACTCCAATAACTGATCTGTAACTTTGAGAAACCGCGAACCCCCTGTACAACGGTTGTACAACGGTTGTGTGACTGCGCGGCAACCTCCGCTCCCCGCTGTACCGAGGCTGTGTAACTGTCCGATAACCCCTCACCCCGCTGGACTAAATGTACCTTCCGTGTAACGTTCTGGTAACATCCAAAGTTCTGTACCGCGGGTTTGTAACTTGGCGGTAATCTTTGAGAACCTTTCGCCAATTCACGCTGCTGTATAGCTTCAGTGAATACAATGTAACCGCTTGATAACCTTCTTTCAAAAATCAGAGCGCGAGAATGTTACCATTTAAGCAGTTAGGATTTACTGTTTTATTGCATTTTGATGTTGAAGATGGACTGCACAAACTGGAATTTCGTGTCTGAAGGAGAAGGAGAAGATACATTTTTGGCCAACAGAGAAGAAGTCGATGTTAAAGTGGAGGTGGTCGCGACCCGTCGACCCGACCTGCTCGGTTATAAATGAGCTATAACCGATCTATAACTGCCGCGTAACCGCTCCGTTTGATCCCGCGGTACAACTCCAATAACTGATCTGTAACTTTGAGAAACCGCGACTGTGTGACTGCGCGGTAACCATTGTAGCGGAGGTTACTGCGCAGTCACACAACTCCAATAACGGTTGTACAACTGACACGCCGGTACCCTCCGCTCCCCGCTGTACCGAGGTTGTGTAACTGTCCGATAACCCCTCACCCCGTTGGACTAAATGTACCTTCCGTGTAACGTTCAGGTAACATCCAAAGTTCTGTACCGCGGGTTTGTAACTTGGCGGGAAACTCTTTGTAACTTTCGCCCACTGAGAACCTTTCGCCA